GGGTAGCAGCCCTGGGTGGCCCCAGGGGCGCAGGATACCCAGCGGCCGGGGCGTCCCTGGGCGCTGCGGCATGGGGGGACCGATGCATCTGAGTGCCCGGAGCGCTGGGGGCCTCTCGGGAACCTCAATGGGCCGGAGCAGCCTCCAGAGGCGTTGTTCGGGGCGGAGAGGGGGTTTCCTGGGGCCTTTAAATCCGGGTGGGTTGCGGGTGGAAAGAGAAGGGGAGAGAAATTCTCCTTTTGAGGCTTTAAAGTGGCGGTTTGACAGGGATTTAATATGGAGTTGGAGATTCAGAGGTCTTGCTGCTCTTTTTGCTGTCTCTTAGAGCTCTTCAAATCGCCTTTTCTGTTATTAATGTTTTTTTTTCCCATTAAAACAGATACATGGCTGTATATTGACTTCTTATCTTTTCCTTTTTAAAACAGTATTTAACCAAGCGCATCCCTCAAAATCCCAAATATCAACATATAAAAACCCGCCTCGATACTGGTAAGTGAAACCGTTGTAGGGTAAAAACACCAGATGTGTATGTAGGAATATAGAAAAATATGCTGAAAGTCTCAACTGCCTCTGCCCTGAGCTGCTTTACTCCAGATGCTGTGCAGCTACATCAGAACTCACATCATAATTGTGATGTATCTCACCTTATTACATCAGGCTCTCTTGTGACAGTTCCCATAGAAATTACTCATCTTGGAGTTTCTATATGTGGGGTTTTCATGTATAAACTAATATCTTGACAAGGGTGTAAGTAAGTCAAGATAATTCTTTGGAGGGGTGTCTCTGGGTATTTTTTGTTGTTAAAGCAGTTGAATTTCATCCAGTAACACCTGCCTATAGTATCTGTACAAAAACGTTGGGGAAGGCACTGCATGGCCACAATTGCATTTGAATCAATGTGTCACAGGCAGGATTTAAATATCAAGGTTCTGATTTCAGCTTCCTTAGAGACAGGGCCGTAACATACGGACTCTGTAACGTACTGAGTTTTAGATAGTGACTTTCTTAAGGTGATGACTTTGTTCTCCAAAGCATCGTCAAAACAATGCTTTTGAGAAGAGAGGGCTTGGTGTGGAACTTGTAAATGGGAAGGGTGCTACGAGGCTGAGTTTTGGGCAATATCACCGCTCTGATTAGCAGGGTGTGGATATTTTTATATCCCTTACTAAAAATCCTGTAAAATAAAACTTGGGTGCGTTCTGTAGAAGAACTGAAACGGCGCTGTGGGTGTCTGCAGAAGACTTGAGCGCCTGCTGTTCATGAACATTCACAGTGAGGTCCCCTCTCCAGTATGGAGGCTTTAAGCTATGGAGCATCTGCGGTTCACAGAGGCGGTTGGCAGCCGGGGTCCAGCAAGTCCTTTGCCTGACTTTGCCATTTAGCTCAGCCTTCCTTGTGAGAGAAAAGCACTAAGAGGAAAATCCTGGTACTTTTTGATTTATGGCTGCCTTGTATTGTCATGGGGAAAGAGGATTTGCAACAAACATTTATTACCATCGTCTGATCTTTTTCTTAAAAAAAAAAAAAAACTTAAGCAGAAGAATTAGTGGAAGAAAACCACTAATACAAAAATTGTAACAAACTGATTTTTTTTTTCCTCCCTGTTACAGGAAACAGTTTGACAAAATACATGGAGAAGTTAGAAGAGATCAAAAGAAGTGAGTATCTGGAGAAGAGCAGAATGTAACTTGCAGTGGGTTAGTTCAAAACTGAAAGAGCATCGAGGAGCTGGGCTGAATCCCAGGCCCTCTGATTGCATGGAAATCTCCACTCGGATGATTCCCGCAGCCATTTACAGGCAGGAACTGTAGAAACACGCAGCAGTAGGATACAAAGATGCTTCTACCTTGATTCTCTGCTAGGCATGTTCTACTCTCTCCCGTGCCTTATTTCTCTGTCTCTCACAGTGCTTTACAGATTTAACTTCAGAAACCAGGCAGGCAGGTCTAGGAGTCTTTCCAGATCCTTCTTCATGCAAATTTTGTTCTTGAATGGAAACCAGGCAGGAAGAAGTTCTCTAGATTAAGATATTTTGACTAGACTCGTCTGAGAAGACTCTAACTGCACTTCTGAGATTTTATTTCACCTTTAGGTAGCAAAATGATTGAACTTGATCTTTTACCTTTGTATAATTATAGCATGCTTAGATTTCTATTGGAATACTCCAAGATAGGAATGAGCTTGTCTTCTTCTTATGTAACTCATTGATTTCCCCAGAACTAAACACTGATGTTTTTGAAGACTTTGGGTTGTTTAGGCTAATGAAAGCCTAACTGATTTTTATTTCAGTCTGTTTTCTTGCTGAAAATAGGTGCTTTTTAAAAATTCTTACTAATAAAGCTAATGTTTTACTACTTTATTTTCAGCTACTGTCAGGACTATTTTCCACATAGAGAGCCCAAGAAAGCTATTAAACCCAAAAGCTGCATTTATTAATGTGAAAGAAAAATCCTCCCCGTTGATGAGGATTAATTAGGATTTTGAATGTTCAGTTTTAGTTTTTAGACCCATTTACTGTGTTCAGCTAAGATGGTGGTGTTCAGATTATAAGGGAGGTCACTAATCTGTCACATAAATGCATTTGTGCTCAGCTTTGTGCAAAATGGTCCTTTATTGCTGGTTTGGTTGTTGGTTTGTTGTTTGTTGGGGTTTTTTTTAAACACCACGAGTCTTTGGGGAAAATCAAAAGAGAAATGACCTTGCTTTCCAAAATCCTGTGTTGACTAAGATTTCAGTGCTTAACACTGGATTGTCATTGCTTTTTATCTGTGCTGAAAATCTTGTTGTAAGGGTCTAGTTGGTTTTTGAGCCCTGCTGTGAATCTGATTTCGTTTCATGTAGGAGTTCTTTTGTTTAATCATGGTTCTGGAGTCCAGTAGAAACTTTCTCATTATATTTGGGCTGAATAGACACCTTGTGTTCCCAGGCAGTTTAGAAACTTCTCCCCCTTGATTTCTCATGGATAGATGACACCGTTTGGACACAACTTTAAATACCCAGTACAGGCAACTCTCTGTCTCTTGTGTAATGTGAGAGAGTTGGACTTAATACCTCGAGCCTGCTGTGGAATCAAGAATGATAAAGAGAGTTGGAACCATGATGATTTGTCCTTTGGAGGACTGACTTGAGGGGAGACATCAAGTCTCTTCCCTTTCTCTGGTGTTGCTTCAACTCATTGCTGAAGCCCCAAGGACCACATCCTTGAATACACAATAATTGCAACTTCAGACCAGTTCACTGAAGCAAAAAATGTCAGAAAATCCAAATGGACTTTCCAGGACAGAACCGGGTACGTCATGTTGCTTTCGTAGTCAGAGGTATCCCTTCTTCTGAACTCTTTGATAACTGCTGGGCAGCTCGTGCAAGCATTCAGATTGGTCTCCTCCAGGTCAGGCTTTGTAATAACAACAGTTTTGTTTTGTTTTTTTCTTGTTGATAGCAATGATTTTGGATGGTAAAGGCAAGATCTAGGTCATAAAGGCTTGTTCGGGAGTAAACAGTCCCTGCTTGAGGTGGGAGGAAACCATCCGGCAGCTATATTGTATGAGCACTGTGACAATGGTTCTGCTTTGTCAGTGTTTAAGGACATCCAGCACCTCATAAGCTTTGCTGCTTTTATTTGTCCTTCTAAATTAAGTTTATTTCTTGCTCTTCATGTGACTGAAGGGCTCTTTTTGTCCATGAGTAGAGAGTTTTAATCATTTGGACATGGGCAATACATGGGTTATGTGTTGGGCAGGTGAAATGTGCTGTATAAAAGATAATTGTTGCTGTTATTTCTGAGTTATAAAGGGAGGTTTTAGCAACCTGAGCTTGAGGCTTGAAACCAGGTGGTTTAGCCAGAACTGTGAGGGTCATTTTCATGTTAACTGACATTCTGAAATCTAGTTTATGCACAGTCTTGAACTTCAGACCTATGGTTTGGAAGCTATAGTGCACACTGCAGTGCACTGGGGTATTTTGGATGGGCTCCTTTTTTCTAAGGCAAGCTGTTTAGTAGCAAGTAGGCACTTGCTTTGCAGTTTAATAAACATGATATAGGGTAGGGTGTTGAATTTGGGAACTGTGCTTGCTCTGAATGTTGAAAATTAACTGGCGTATCCCTGCAGGAAGTGTATTTAAGAGGGAAGGGATAGGAATAAAAAACCCCAGAGATGAAAGCTCACAATTTTTCTTGTTGTGTCTGTCCTGCTACCCTAAGGTGCCTGTGGCCTGGGTACGGGGAGAATCTTGTCCGAGCAGAGCATCTGTTATGAAGCGTGTGATCACCGCTTGTATTTGGAAGAGATCTCGGCCTCCAGCATTCGCGTGGCTCCTTCTCTAAACACACATCAGCCTGAGACTTTCCATAAGCCAATTTTGTGGTAATTTTTTGTGTGGTGGTTGCAGAAATATGGATTGGAGTCCTTCCTCCTCCCCCATCTTCCCTTGCTTAAGCTATGGAGCATTCAACAGATGGTTTTAGAGGATTTAGAATTGCTTAACTGGCTGGATTTGATAAAGGTCCTGGACTTCGTTGTCAGCCCTCTTAGCTGAACAGCTGGAGCGAGACTGGTTTGGAATATCCTCCAACAGTTACTAAAATTGTTAGAAAAGCGTAAAGGATTTTTCTTTTTTCTTTTTTTTTTTTTTTTTAATAAAAATCTGTGGCTTTAGAGGTGGAGCCTAGTAAGTCAGGAGCAAAGGAAAAGAACAGCAGCTCTATTTTTTGAGAGGATTTAGATTCATTAGAGCATAGCTTCTCATAGGTTAAAGAGCTTCATGAAGAACTCGGTTAGCAGCTGCAGTGCCTGGTATGGGAGGAATCTTGTTCATCTTTGCTTTTCCCTGCCAGTGCACAATTGATAATTTTTTTTTAATTTTGACCCCTCCCCTGCTGTTTTCTTTCTAGCTGTAAATTTCCCAAAGGACAGGGTTTCTGTTACTTCCCGTGGGAGGCTATTTCATATCAAGATGTTCCTACTGATACTCGACTTAGCTTCTCTCTCCGACTACATACACCCTTTTGTTTCACACTAGAAGGCTTCTCTCTTCCTCGTGTTGATGCATCTCCAGTGTCTGTATGCAATCAGACTTCCATCCTTGTCATCGCTTGCTTAGCACTGTTAATCTCTGCTCTGGTGGTTTGCCAATCGTTCCAACAGAGCACATAGTTTTCTTGCTGCCTAAGCTTTGTCTTAAGCCTAAAGACTCAATTAGTCCAGTTTCTCCATTGCAATTATGTGTGCTTCAAGCTGGTATCCATGCCGATCTGCTGTTCAGTTTTCTGCATTAAACACCTTCTGTCAGTTATCCATTCCTTTAGATATCTGTATTAGCAAATTGTCAGAATCAGAATTTAATTGTCAAATGAAGTAAGAAAACCTGGAGCATTTTCATCGGTAAGATTAAACATACGTGTTTAGCTTGCAAAGACATAGTCTGAGATGCAGTGCCCCTATGCTCTGATTCTGCTGTAACTTACACAAATTAAAAATTCAGGTAAACTAAATCTTTTGGTTTAAGAGGCTTTGTGATCATAGCAGGCTTCAGAGAACAGCAGGCAAGGTGATAAATTCATGAAACTGCTTCCTTCGCCCAGTGAGCACAGAAGGCACAAAATCGTACAGATTTGAGTCTAAAAGCAACTAGATCTGCCTTCTTCACTTGAATCATATCTGGACAAGATCTCTCTTTATAACTGGTTTTACTTTTCACAAAGCCTTCAGGTGTGCTGCTCCGATCCTTCACTGCAAGCTTAGCACCCAGAAATCCTGCCCTGTTGTAGAAGAGGGTCTATGAGAGTAGCTGGGACTAAGCCTATGGCCTGGTATTTGTAAAAGCTGGGAATTAATTGAAAATTTACATTGTCCTCTTCTGTTTTGTTTTTGAAGATTACAGATATAAAAAGGATGAGCTGTTTAAAAGACTGAAAGTGACTACTTTTGCCCAGTTGGTATGTATAGTTCCCTCTCTGGCCTCTGAAAGTTGTTACCTTTTGTGAACAGCATTTTTGCTCTGTCTGAAGCCTTTTACGCAGTTATGTAGCCTTAGTGTGGAATTATTCTGTGTTTGCTTCTTCCTACCCTCACAGATTTCCCTTCATAAAAGCAAACCACTCAGGCCAATGTTTTCAGAGCAGTTGAACACTTTTAATTTCAAATTGAGGTTTGTAGTGACTCTGTCTGTGAAATCTGTTCCCTGTTTTTTTCCCGTTCACTTAAGAGGATCTTCAAGCCTCTTATAAAAGAAAAGGGCTATGTAAAGTAGTATTCAAATCTGATCTCATCGAGCTTTGTGTCAGTTAGCCTGAAACCCTCCCTAATTGTGGTTTTAACTGCAGAAGGTGGGAAGTCTGTGACTTCAAGGATTTCTGCCTATTTTGTTAAAGTAATGAATCAAAAATATTAAAAAATTGAAAATCTGATCGGTAAATAGAGAGCTGTGGTTGCTTACATGTTGGTTCAAGAAAACTAGTAAAAACTAGAAAAAGACAAGCTTTCTTCTAAGAGGAGGAAAGGGAAGAATAAGTTTGCAGATATTGAGGGAGTGGCTTTCTGCAGAATCATATCTTTGGTTCCACTGGTTTGTTAAGACCAATCCTGTGACTCACTGGTGTGATGAACCAATTTAGTATGTGAATATCTCAGGTCTGCTCTCACAGACCAATTAACCATTCGTGATTTTTTGATTTTTTTTTTTTTTCTTTGGTGGGTTTGTTTTCTTTTTTTTTTAAAGCCACTGTAGTGTATCCTCTGAAATGTTTCAGTTGCGGCCAGTGACTGAACTTCATAAAAAGTCAGAAAACATTCTATTTGATATTGCCAGCACAGCATATCCGACTTTTCTTTATCCTAAGGTTGAGCGTTCTTATCCTAAGGTTGATTCCCTACAACTTTAGTTTAATAAAAGGACACACTTGCAGTACAGGTATCATATATGCACCTATATGTGACCTTGAAGTCCAGTAGAAGTTGTATTGAGTTAAATGTCTTTTGGCTTGAGAATTGTTTTTCCTTAAGCTGATCCCCGCTGATCTTTCAGTGACACTGGTGCACAAGTATCAAGGTATCAGTGCTTGGTTTTGTTTCCTGCAGGTCATCCAGGTTGCTTCACTATCTGATGAAACCTTAGAAATGACAAATGAGGAGATCCACAAGCTGGAAGGTAACAATATTTATTGTAAACACAAAGAGAAAGAGCTGTAGATCACTGTCTTATAGTGAACTGTGTCCTGACAGGCATAGCTGACTATTCAGCAAGTCTTTTAATCAGGAGGAAAAAATAACTTAACCTGTGGCATGCAGCCATTCCACTTTGGGAACAGAAATGCTCCTAAAACAGAAAAGCTTCCAAATAAGGAAGGTCTCATGCTGCCAAGTTTATTGTGGTAACTCAGTAGATATCGTGCATCAAGAATTAAATTTTCATTGAATTCTTAAAATAAGATCTTGAGCCCTTAAAAATCATATGGCTATTATTTTTAATATGAGGCTCTTGGTAAGGCATTCTTATAAGAGGATGAAGATAAGGCTGTCTTTAAGAGACACGCTTTCTTCTAAGAATAGAAACTGGGCTTAAAACCTGCTTATTTATTTTCTGCAGGATTTTAACTCTCCATACCCTGTTCTCTCCCCAGATGGCGATTCTGCTGCTCCAGGTGCAGATGCTGAAGTCACAGCAGGGACAAATGGAAAGGGAAGCCCTGATGGGACACCTCGTCCAGTCCTCTTTATAAACAACACAGGAGCTGGGGAATCATATCGGTCCACACTGCAGAGGTGCCTGATAATAATACGCAATTTTCTTCCTGTCTTAGCAGATAATTATTTTTATGCCGCTAGTTATTTTAAATTGCTACTAAGAGGCTTTATCTTGTACTTCTCATTAAAGCCTGATTTTGCAGGTCCAGGGATGTGAGCAAGAGAGAGGGTTGGCAGGTTTTCCTGTCTGAATGAGTTTTGTTTGCGGCTGTAACCCAACACTGTTGCCACCTGATGATTGTCTAAATGGCTGACAAGGAAATACTTTTGTGGGATTTGATCCAGGTCCCTGGGTTCAAGAATCCATGCTATAAACTGCTCTGGTAAACTCAGTAACGTGCCTTGCTGATGATCTTAATGGATTGTCCCGTAATTGAGAATGAGTCCAATTTCCAAACCCAGTACATCACTAGTCAGGGTCAGGGATACCAGGAGGACAGTGTAAGAGGAAGCTTTGTCTCAGCCCTTCCCTTGCTGTACCTGTGCAAATGTTAACAGAAGAGTTGGGACTGACGGGCTTGGCGATCGCATATCAAAGCTATCAATTTAGTGACCACTAAGAGTATCTGGAGGTTTCTGTTCATGTCCTATATCCACTCTAGTGATGGATAGCATAGCACTGTAGATCTAGACTGACAGTTATTTACTGTGTCTGACTTGCTGGCACCTCCATGTTGGCAGCTGCTTAGAATTATTCTCCCTCACCTCAGAGTCACTTAGGACATTGAATAAAATTCCTGGACTTGACTGATCTGGAAGAGTACAGTATGTTCACATAGCAAAGCTGTACTCTGTTTATTTTTTTTATATTGATAAAAATGAAATCAGTCTCTTACGATGTATCGGAAAGCCTGAAGTAGACTCGCCGTTTTTATGTGGTGTCTGCTGTACTGGAACGTAAATAGGCTGTTGGAACAGTTGATGGAAAAGCTTTCTGACCTGGTGAAGAGGTACAGAAGTGTTCAGAGTAAGAGCTTGCACCATAACCTCCTCTTTCCTCTTGTAGTGTGATAAGTGGTGTTGGTGAATTGGATATAGAAAAGGACCCTCCAAAGAAAGTAGACGCTCAGGCTAAAGACATGCCTTATCCTGACTGCCCCTTCCTGCTTTTGGACGTACGAGACAGAGACGCATATGACCAATGTCACATTGTTGGAGGTGAGGAGGCCACAATTTCACAGCAGCCTAGTGTTGGCTGGGGTCCTATACTCAGCTTTGTGTGTCATATTCTGGCTGGCTTAATCCCCCTCCCCCTCCCCGCCCCCCAGGTGGGACATCACTTGGGTACAGAATGCTCTCAGCACTCATCCACTACACCCATCTTTCCTGGAAAGGGCTGAGGGGACCAAACTGGTGTTAATCCCTTATTCAGTGGGTTTTCAAGTCTGTTGAACTCTAACAAGTCTGTGTCAGTTGTATTCCAGGTTGTGTGATGGTTGGTGTCCAGCCGCTGTATGATTTTTCTCTCTCTTATTTTTTTCTCCTCTGCAGCTTATTCCTACCCTATTGCAACACTGTCTAGAACGATGAATCCATATACAAATAGTGTTCTGGAATATGTATCCTTTACATATAAAGTGCTGGAATTAATAAATAAATTGGGAGGATGTTGGTGTGGGGGCTTCCAAAAACAATTGGAGCTATAGCAGTCACTGTGACCAGGGCAAGGCTTAACCAACAGCGTCTGGGGATTTCAAGCTGGCTGTGGTTGTCTGGTGGGGCTCTGCTGCTACCATCAGATGTCAGATTCTAGTTCCTCAAGCTAGAGGAACCTCTTGACTCTGCTGGGAGCTGCCTGAATTTGGCTTTTCTTGAGATTTTGGCTGCTGGAAGGCAAAGCCGTACTACTTGGGCACCTGTTTCTCGCTGTTGCTGGAGTACTAGGCTTCTTGAGGGATGCATTCCTCAAATCCTTTGGCTTGGATCAGCACCTTGACGGGGATTGGCTTTTCTCTGGAGGGCAGAAAGAGGATTATGAGCTAAGATTAGGCTGATAATTTCCTGGGTTGGTAGCTTGAGGACTGCAGGGGAGAGGGGAGGCTGTAAACAAAGGTGCTTCTTGGTATTGCCTGTTACTAACTAACCTTCAAACAGTGGTGGACACTTGCTGCAGGGGCTGCACTCCGGTGGGGATTAGGCTGTGTCCTTCCAGCATCTGGCAAGCCCAAGCTCCTGAGAAATCAGTTTTAAAGCACAGGGGAAGGCGTTCCTGCCAGATACTCACAAATCAACTAGGGAGTCTCTCAGTCTCCAGTTACATTTGTTTGTCTCTCTTTTTTCTTTTCAAAAGATATTAACAGTCATCTTAAGTTTACAAATGAATCCTTAGCTCTTCTACCTATCAGAAAAATGCACATGGGAAAATTATCATTTTGTATGACAATGATGAGAGGTTAGCCAGCCAGGCTGCGACAACCATGTGTGAGAGGGGCTTTGAGAATTTGTTCATGTTATCTGGAGGTAAGCGGGGATGGGCAGGACTCTCTGAGATCTCGGGCGGGTAGATCGAGAGCAGAGAACAAGGGTTCTGTGAGCTGGAGATTGGAAAGAGCTGGATATTCAGCTCCATCGAGTGTTTTATTTGACTGGTAAAATCACTGATCCAATCTTAGCTGGTGGTCACTGATAAATTGTGATCTGTATGTCTGCAGGCCTGAAGGTCCTTGCACAGAAGATCCCAGAAGGACTGATCACCGGCTCGCTCCCCATGACCTGCCAGGTGGCAGCTCCCACTGGATCTGCCCGAAAAAAGACCTCTCCCAAAGTGCCACCCGCACGTGCTGAGAATAAATGGAGATTTTCTGCAGATGATCTACAAAAGATAAAGTATTACCTAGAAGAGGAGCACATTCCTTCAGACACTGCCAGTAAGACTCTGGGACAAATGCTGCAGCCTCTTTCTGTAGCTCTTGAGCCTGCCCTGCAGCAGTTCTCTGCTTTGCTATGTTCTTTCCATGAGACTGTTGGGAGACAGAGAATTTTTTTCCAAACTGATTGAGAAGATCCACCAAAACCTGTGCTGTGCTGATCCCAGAGAACTTAAATCTTACACAGCTACACGGTGGCAAAATCCTGGGCCTGCTAAAGGCAGGCATATACCATTCTGCCCTATGTTTAAATGTCTTTAGGCTTTCCTGGTGATTTGTAGGTTTTTCAAATTCACAGGCCTGCACAGCTAGATAGCGACTGCCTAGGACCCCTCACTGAACTCTTGATGGATCTATATGTTTACAGTGAGAGCTGGAGAGCCAGCAACAGGCAACAGAACATTTGTGTGTCCTTGTGCTCTGTCACACACAGAGCTTCTGATCTTGTTTTTCCTCCTCAGGCCGTCTTAGCCGTGGTTCTTCAGGCCGCGATTCCAAGGTGACAACTGTGAGGAGCAGCCCCCGTCTCCCCAGCACTGCTGGCAGCGTGGGATCCCTCACCGCCCGCTCACTCAGCAGGAGCAGCCTTCAGAACAGGCCATGGAAATAAGCAGCAGTGTCGTCTTCCACTGAATAAATGAATGTCCAGGTTCTGGGAACCCTGAGCAGTGCAGCCCGTTTGTCATTTTAGGAATCGGCAGAGAAAAGCAGCATTGGTGTAGAAATGGCAGCTCGGGTAAGGCTGGGGGAGCTGGAATGGTTGACGTTTTGTAGAAGCAGGAACGGTATCGCTTTGCCAAGGCTGACTTTTAGGTCCAGTGTCAGGACAGAGTTGATATAACCGATTTTGTAGGGGAGGGAGGAAACGGGTAGTAAAGCCTGTGACCAGTAGACACGGTTCTGCCAAGCTTGTAGTTCAGGTAAATGGATTGGTGTCTGTAAGAAATACTCCCTCTGTGCTGCGCCCAGAATCACAGACTGTGCGAACAGGAGAACACATGTGAAGGTAAACGGGCCAGAAATCATCTGTGAGCAAAAACGTCGGTGTTTTGTAGCAGAGATACAGACATTCAGCAACTTGCCAAAGTGTTGGAGAGAAGATTCCCTAAGTTTTTAAAAACATGATGTTAATGAACAGAAGTATTTGTAATAAAGTTGTTTTTGAAATAATGCCCAGTGTGGCACTGTAACCTGACAGCTGTGTTTACTCATGGACAGTTTGTGAAACAGTTCTCTATTTTTAAAGGTGAGCTGGAGGAGAAAATAACTATTTTCCCTCTCTTCTCCCTCATTGTCTGGAAGGTTTGGCTTCTAACTGTGCTTTTTCTGCTTTGTTCCTTGTCATGGTTAACACAGAGCTACTGGTTTTTTGTTCTAAATGAGACTAAATGAGAGAGTAAGGCTGCCAGATGTGCTGAGCAGGGTTTTAGCTGACACATCTTAGGGCAAAATCATTTGCTGTGCCCCTCTTCTTGGTGTGTGGGCAGAGCATCTCCTTAGTTCAGCTGTGCTCCGGTGCTTTGCTCCTTTTCTGACCTGCCAGAGCAGGTTGCTGGTCACTGGTGCTGCAGAAAACGACATATACGGAGGAGCCAGTCATTCTTCTGCTGACAAGGCTGACTCCCCTAGACTCTTCGAGGCCCTGCAAGTTGAGGTTAGGAGGCAGAACATCATTTTGCTTTGTAAAGTGCTTTTGTGATGCTTGGAGGCAAACTGTATTCTTCAGTGAAGCGGCAAAGAGCTTTGCAGTTCCAGTGTCTGATGGAGGCTGGAACCTTATTCCCAGTTACACCCTTGTCGGTGCTTTTGGAGTAGCTTCTTTAAGGTTACGGTGGCTGAAGGGAAATTTTCTTCTGCCCTCTCACCAAGGCCCCTAAAACCTAGCAGGGACCATGAATCTGTTAACTGAACAGGGTAGAAAACAAGTATCACAGTTTTCATCGAATTAGTGCTTCCACCATACCAGTATTAACTGGGTGACCTAGAAATCATCTGAAACTACCCCTGACAAAGCAGAGTTGCCTGCTAGAGAGATGGTAGGTGGTCACAGAGAGATCCTGCTCTCCAGCCTTTACCTACAGGATTGCTCAGCTTGGTTCAGCTTTGGCTTCTTGGGCTTGTGGGGGGTTTTTTTGTGCATGGCTTTTTGGGGTTTGGTGGAGGTGTTTTTCCCCCCTTTTTTGAAGTAGACAAGTAATCTTTAACAGACCCCAAAATTCACCCATGGTACAGATCATCAGAGGATAATTCTGGTGAAAGGGCAAGATGAATTTTCACATATTTTCCAGTTCGGCAGCTTAAGACTCAACGTCCCTGAGCACATTTATCGTGTCGATTATGTCTCCATGAGTCTTAAATCAGAGGAGTGCCGATACAGGGGCTGATAGTCTCATTCTGGTGAGAGCCACAACCTCAGTCCTTTCTAGAGAAGAGCGATATGATCAACACAAACTTCTGATGCTGCGTAGGGATCCCCTGGAGGGAGAATAAGGGGAGAAATCAAGGGGCATAAGGCAGAGCCCGCATTTAAAATGCACCAAAAAAAAAAGTACTTCAAAGAGGTGAATGCCCCTGTGTGTTCAAATACACATCTATATTTTTATATGCAACAAAATCTGATTACAAGGGTGTAACTTAAAGCTCACAGCTTCCCAAAGAAGTCCTTGGATGCTTTTAAGTTGTACAAACCAGCTCTACTTTATACAAACAGCCCTTCCAACCTGTCCACTAAGGATTGCACGTGTCCTTGGTTTCCATAGGGAGTGTGCGTGTGTACCTACATATGTAGAATAAGAGTTGGGCTGGTCAGGTATGAAGATCAAAAAACTAAAGATCATATTTCAGCCCATCCTTAGGAAGCTGGATGCATCTCACCATCTTACTAACTGCTTTGCTTTCTTACCTTCCTACTTGATCACGCTTCTGGAAGACTTTTTGTTGGTTTAGTTGTAGGCATGTTTATTTTGAACCAAGTAGCACGTCCTCCTCGGTCAGTCCGGTTGGCTTTCCATGGAACAGAAAGGTTGGCTTCCTCGCTCTCAGCCTTGGCAAGCTGACTCACCCCTTGTGGCTTTAGTTACTCAGGGGCAATGCTTTCAGTTGGCCTAATAAATAAAAGCTAAATAAAACTTTCAAAGGAGTTTGGTACGGAAGCATCACAGAAATGACACGTTTAGCTATCAACATAAAACGTGGCTTATGCAGCTGCGTAGTCTGATCTTGATGGCCTAAGTCAGCTGCTCCTTCTTGCACAGCACCTCCATTTTTATGTTGTCATGAAATAAAAACCTCGAACGAAGCGCCACCTCCTGCATAATTCAGTTGGTAGCTTGCCTAGGCTGGTTGCCTAAAAAATGATACTACCTGATTGATTTTGCTGAACACGCACAGGAGAGGTGAGAGCCAAGAGAGCCATTTATTACGTGTATGAAAGACAGGGACCAATGCAGCACGCAGGGCCCCACCCGCGTGTGAGCAGATCTTTCAGCTTCATGAGCACTTGGAAGTGCGTAAAATGCATCTGTCTGAAAAGAGAGATGAGCATGGTGGCCATTTGTGTTGGCCTAAAGTCCTGGTTTTGCTATCCAGCTGTGGGAGACAGATCCAAAGTCCCTGGCTGCTCTGGGCTACATGAAATACTCCTTCTGAAACGGACAGACAAAACTAGTCCAAGCTGTTTGAGATCCTCCAAATCCAGGGCATCGGGGGACGAACGGAATGTACTTTCCTGTTGTCTTGATGGATTTGTATGTTTTGGGACTCTTGATTTGGTATTGAGGACAGAGTCAAACTCTGTAGAGTCTGGGAGTTTTGTTTTAATTTAATAAAAAGTAAATGACACCATACGGCTCAGTATTTCTTTTCAGTTTGAGCTTTGAGAGCTGACGGGGAGCGTGGAGCGGCGCCTGCAGAAGCTGGGAGTTGGCAGGGACTTGGCTCGCCCTTCCTTAGGGATTGCGGCAGGTGAGGAGGGACCTTTCTACCAGGGCCACAAGTTGGTGTTCAACCACAAAAATACGCAGAATAAATCGTGCAGACCCCATTGTCTCGTGTCCCAGAGCTGCCCTGGCCCACCGGAGGGCTGGGGAAGGTGGGCACTCCTCCTGCCAGCACAGCTGCCGTGTCCCAGCTGTCTGCTTTGCCCAGTAAGTGTCAGACTGAACCTCTGCCCCTTCCATCCTCTGCCAGAGCAGAGGGAAAACAAGCACTTTTCTTTTGCATCCCACTATTTTCATGCCCTTTTAATCCCCTTTTCGGGCCACTGGGCCAGCACGTGCCGTTTACGTTGGCTGCTGCCACGTGCACCCACGGGAGCGCTGAGTCAGTCTCCCAAAAAAAAAAAAAAAAAAAAGCTTTTCAATGAAATGTGATTTAAAAAAAAAAGGTGGGAGGAAACAACAAAAGGCATTTCTCATCCTTCTTTACATTTATTTATTGCATTTTTCCCCCCACAGCTAATTCAACCACCACTCGGCCCCCCGTCCCGGTTAGTAGAGGTGGTCCCGCGCGTGCAGCATGATGACCTTCAGCGCCAGCCACGTCTCCTGGGCGGTCGGGACGATCTGTTTGGCAGGGAGCAGGAACCCGTAGCGCCCCGTGTCCCGCAGCTCGAAGGTGAAGGAGTACTTAATGCCCTGATCGTACGTCCAGTCGATGGTTCCTCCGCTCGCTCGATCTGAGTGGAGAAGCAATGGGAGGGAGACGGAACGTTAGTCGCTCTGCGTCGTACGGGTACTTCGCAGAGCGTTTTGTCTAAGCCGAGGTGTGACTGATGGTTTTGGTTTATTTTGGGGGAACCACTGCTGTTCCCCATTACATACAGATGGTGGTGATGATGCTGCCGTACTTGTAGTTCGTGCCGTACAGAGAAGACAAAGCTGCAACCGCCTTCTCAGAAACCTGGTGCTGGGAATACACAGAAGGGAGAAAGATGAGCCGAAGAAGGGAAAAACCTGTGGGACACAGCCTGCAGGAGAGGCTTTTTTTTTCGCTCGTGCTCAGGCAAAAAGAATGCCAAAGCTCAACAGCCTTGGCCTGGGGGAGTTCCCAGGGGCTGGCAGAGGAGCCAGGGCTTCTTCCCAGCTTGCCACTGTCCCCTCCACAGTGTAGGATGAAGGCTGCTCCTCCTTGGAGGAGGAGAGCAGCCTCGCATCATCCCAGCCCCCTTCAAACCTCTGCATCAGCCCTACCAGCTCCTTCTGGTCAGGCACCGGGGTGCTGGTGTAGCCATAGGGGTAGAGCAGGAGCTGAGAGTAGCTGTGGATGGAGATGAAAGCCTTGATGTTCCCATGGTTGTTCACAAAGTCCACGATGGCCTTCACCTCAGGCTCCGAGTTGGCGTAGGGTCCATGGTACGTCTCCGAGCAGGGGTTTCTGCTGGCCCCAGGCCCTGGGGAGAAGTGAAAACACAGTGTGGGTTTTTGGTGGCTTTGGTGGCAGTTGGGTGGCTCAGAGTCACAAGGGCAAAGGGCTTTTTCCATTTCCAAGCCCAAGAGCTTTTCCCCCCCCATCAGCTCCTTGGTGGCCAGCAAGGAATGCTCTTGGGACTCCTCCTGGACGTTTGTGTGATGGCTTTCATTCATGGTCCCCACCGTGCTGGTCACTAGGGGATATCAAAGGCCTGGTAGAGCCCAAACCCACGTCTCTGCCACGGAGAGCAAAGCCCGTCTCTTTGCATCAGTGGACCTGGAGGATGGAAACTCCCCACAGGATGAACGGGAGAGCTCTGACCTCCGAAACCTGCATCCCAGTTGCGGTTGGGATCCACGCCGACGCAAGTGGAGCCGGGATGCCTGGACCTGGTCTTGCGCCACATGCGGTTCTGGAAGGACATTGCCGCCTCAGTTGGTGTTCAGGGCCAGAGCCCCAGGGGGCTGTCATCTGGAGTGTCTTAACGGGTCATGGTGGTCCCCTTCCACCCCATGGTAATGTAGACAAGGAGGATTTGAGCTTTCAGAGGCCGCTGTGTGCAGCACCTCAATCCTGCTCCTCATCCCCATCCAGCATGGCTGAGAGGAAAGCCAGGGCGGTACCTCGGTTTGGGTAAAGACAAAGCCGTCTGGGTTGGTGACGATCTCCAGGAAGATGTCCATCTTGTCCAGGATGGAGGCCAGACTGTTGTCATTCTCATGATCCAGGACAATCTAGAGAGGACGAGGGTTTGGGGCTCCTTGGTGCTGCTGGAGCACTGCCCTCTCTGTGGGGTCAGCCACCTGACCCCCACAGTGGCTGTAGGACTTTGTGGCCCTTCAGGGACGTCAGACGTGTCCGGGAGGTGCCCGTACCTTCTTGGCGAACCAGACGCCGCTGGCCTGCGTCACCCATTCACGGGAGTGGATGCCAGTGTCGATCCAGACAGCCGGGCGGTTCATTCCCCCTTTGCTGAACTGGAAGAGCAGAGAGTTGGGGGTTGGCTTTGTCCCTGGCCCCGCTCCCCACTCCGGCCACCCCACGAACCCCAAATCCTCACCCACCTTAAGCACATAGAGGGGGCGGTTCTCCGTCGATCGGCCGATCTCGAGCTTGCTGACCAGGTTGGGATTTTCAGCCACCAACAGGTCCATGAAGGCGTAGATCTGAGGGAGAGGGAGGGGGGGTCACCCCCAGCTCACCCCCTGCCCTTGCTGCACGTGGAGCAAAGGGCTTTGCAAGAGCAATTCCAGGATGCAATTTTCTCCCCAAAATGCCCCAAATCTTGCGCTTTCTCACCTCATCCAGGCTGTGGTAAGTGGCGTAGTCAAAGGTGTTGGTGGAGAGTGGCAGCTGGCTGCGGCCACGACGCATCTCCATCCGCTCGTGGTCCACCAGTGCCTGGGGCACACGGGGCAGGATGAGACCTCGTT